TGCTTTGTCGACATGGTAGTGTAGACGCAAAGGACAGTTTACATGCAATAACACCTTCTGTCGACAGAAACTCTGTCGATAGAAGGCGTTATGCCTCATAAAATGAGGTTTACCAGCGTCGACAAAACCGCTGAGTTCTGTCGACGTTATGTCGACAGAACTCAGCGGTAGTGTAGACGCAGGTATTGTTTTGTCGACAAAAGTTCACTTTTGTCGACAACACTCTGTAGTCTAGACACACCCCTAGAGACATAAAGAATAAAGAGTAGAGAAGTTCTGAAGCCTGTAACGTGAGACTCTTGGTAGGGGAAAATGTCAAATATCTAATAATAGTGTATATTCAGATTTACAAACTTGGAGTATTCCAATGATCCAAATAATCCCTTTTCTCACTTATTTAGTTGCAGAAGGAAGTACACTGTACTCTCTCCCCTCCTTCTCCTCCCTCCCATTTTATTTGTCTAATTCCAACATTTAGCCATTACCTGATTACCATTTACAAATGTGTAATTAATTTAACTTAGTTGTTTAAAGTAAAAATCAGCCTAAATGAGAATCTTGTAGTCAAGTTACAATAATTGAGTCCTTGTCTACCAACACAGGGTAATTGTAGCTTCCAGAGAAGCTTCATCAATTCAGTCCCCCTACTGCAGAGACAATTACCCCCCAGTGCAAATTGTGCTGTACCAGGAAAAACTGTCTACACTCATTATTTACACCAGTGCAGCTACAGAGGCAACTAAAAGGGATGATCAGTGGTTAGTGTGCTAGCATCGGATTTAGGAGGTTGGTTTCAATTCCTTGCTCTGCCACAGAGATTCCATGTGACCTTGCACAAGTCATTTAAAACTGTTTGCCTTAGTTCCCTAGCTGTAAAATGGGAATAATACTTCCTTAACTCACAAGGATGTTGTGAGAGTAAATATATTGTGAAATACTCATTCACTTCACTACACTGATGGAGACCATATAACTCCATACATTAAAAAGACCAGCTGCATAGATGAATATGCAAACGAGAGATGTACATTTTTCCACTAAATTCTGCCCCTCCAAACACAGAGAAAATTTTTAAACATATTGAAACCTCACTGGGTTTTTTTTCTATTTTTCTGGAATAAAACAGACATGTCAGTTTCACATTTTCCCCCAGCTAGAGTATCAAAAACTGGAGTACTGTCTAAGTTTAGACTGGGCACAGCAGACCTCATACTTGCATTATATGGGCCTCATTTTGACCTTGTACCAGTGACTATCCAGAGCTATTTTACCAAATTCAGTTAAGTTACACCCAGGTAAAACCTGATATGTGTAAACTGAGTCAGGTCTCATGAATCCATTGGTACATGATGCAAGACTTGACCAAACATCTACATTTTAATTTTTATTATGCATTCAGATATAAACATGGGATTATGCACATTTTAGACAAAATGTTTAACTCATTGTCACTGCTGTTCATTATATGAAAAAGACAGTATAATTGTACCTTCTCTGGAATAGTTTGTGTTTGTTTTGTGTCAAAATTCATAATTTCAATGTAGAATGGTCTTGTTATTCACTTAGTAGTTACTGTCTGGTTTTAGCAGTGCATCCCTGTTTCTTTGGATTCTGTTTACGTAGGGCCTTGTCTCCATTATGTGGTAGAGCAGTGCTGCAGCAATCAGTCCACCGGTGGTCGATTGATCATGTCTATTTAGACACCTTAAATCAGTCTCCACATGCTCACCTGTTAACTCTGGTACTCTACCAGGATGAGAAAAGTAGCCAGAGTAGACAGGAGAGCAGCCCCCTCTGACCTTACCACATGGAAGACACAAGCTATTTGCGTAGCTGAAGTTGCAGAGGGTAGATCGACGGGTGCCGGGGGGTTAGTGTAGGCCAGGCTGAATTGCAACAAAGCATTAGGTCAGGGGTGGCCAATCCATTAAATGAAGAGAGCCGAAACAGCGGCGGAAAAAATGCGAAGAGCCGCACCAAAATTGTTGAGAGGAAAGGGCGGGGGCAATAAAGGAAGATCTCCCCACCAGCCAGAGTTGAGCAAAACAACAACAACAAAAGGATGCTGCCCCTTTAAAAACCGCAGGCAAGCTTTTTTGCCACATCAGGATCCCATCGGCCGCTGCCATCTTGCCAGCGCCATTTTGCCATGCCAGACAGCTCCCTTGCACCTGGGGCGCACAGGGGGCCAGAGGCCGATTGTAGGGGTGCATGGGACAGCTTTGTGAGCCATGTGGCTCACGAACCGTGGGTTGGCCACCCCGCATTAGGTGGTGGATGTTTTCTCCTTTAAAGGAGGATTTTTTTAAAAAATGCTGAAGCTTAAAAAACTGAAGTGCACTGCTTTCATTTCCACTGCTCTCATTCTCTCACATCATGTCACACATGTAATTACAGCCTGTAATTTTCTGAGCAAAATGTTGCTAAAGTAAAATAACTCTACATGTGAAGTTTTCATATGAGGTTTTTCTCTGTGCATGCTGCCTTGGCAGTAAGAGCTCAGAAGGGCATCACAGTTGATTGCCCTGATATCTGTTCCTTCTAAGGCTCAGGTACAACCATTTGTTTCTTTTGCCAGATGTATCCACACCAAAGGCCTCAAGAAAATTAGCAGACAGCTCTGTAGTGAATGGTAGCTTGGCGCCAGGCTCAAAGATGAATGGTGTCAGCAGTACCCAGGTGACAGTGCAGCGAAAGAGACTCCTTAAAGCCCCTACATTGGCTGAACTGGACAGCTCAGATTCAGAGGTAAGTCAACATGCTTTTACCTCGTTGAATTTCAGATTTTAGTCTTTCTACTAATTCATGGAACTAATAAACTGGGGCAATAATTTCATAAGCAAGCCCATCCCAATCAATATGCAAACTACACAGCCGTCCCAAATTCTGTGGTGCTCTAAGCAGCTCTGTGCTGTGTGTTTGGGGCAATGCCAGATCAAGCAGCCATCCTTATCCCTCCCGCCAGTCCCTCCTATCCCTAGGAAGTTGTAGGTTACCGGACACCACCCCACACTCCACACCTGCTCCGCCCCATCTTTAATAACTCAACCCCTTCTCATAAGCCACCTCCCCTGAGCAGCGCGGCCTTGGGGACAGGTTGAGAGCCTGGGGGGAAGCAGAGAGAAACAATGCACAATTGAACCTGGGTTACCAATTTTCCAAAGTATGAGGAATGCTCAATCTATGGCTCTGCCCCAGGCTCCACCCCCATCCCTCCTCTTCCCACCCACGATTCCATTCCCTCCCCCAAGTACATAGTGTCCTTTCTCCCTCCTCCTCCCCCAGCCTCCTGAATGCTGCAGAACAGCTGATCGCAGGGGGTTGGAGGCATGGGGAAGGAGAGGGGCGGTGCTGATCCTTAGGACCTGCCAGTGGGTAAGAAGCATAGAGAGAGGGTGTGGGAAGCTAATAAGGGGCTGCTGGTGGGTTCCCCTCGTTTTTTCCCTGTGGGCTCCTATGGGTTACACAGCCATTTGTGGAATGCTGGGCATAAGTATTTATGGTTTCTGTTCCTGGTTCTGGGAGGAGAGCGTGGTCTAGAAGTTACAGAAAGTCTAGCCAAGTGTAACAGTGTCCTTGTTCTGGGTCAACAGTGAGGACTGATCAGGGCATCCATATCTAGAGGTGAAACATGAGTCTCTATGGGTATGTCTACACTACAAAGTTAATTCGAAATAACAGCAGTTATTTCGAATTAACTTTAATAGCGTCTACACAGCCAAACCGCTATTTTGAAATAAATTTGAAATAAATTCGAAATAGTGGAGCACTTATTTCGAGTTTGGTAAACCTCATTCTACGAGGAGTAACACCAAATTCAAAATAGCTATTTCGAATTAAGTGCTGTGTAGACACTTAATTCGAAATAGGGGGCCTCCAGCCCTTCCCAGGGAGCCCTGGTGGCCATTCTGGGCACAACCAGGAAAACTTACTCTTCTCTCTCCCAGCCCTGGAGCCATTAAAGGGGTAGACCCTGGACACAGTGCCTGTGCCAGCTCCAAGCCTGCCAGCCCAGAGCCAGCAGTGGACCCAGTGGCCCCAAAACAGCCAGCAAGCTACTGGCAGCCAGCCCTCCAATGTTCCCCAGGAGCAGTCTCCCAGCTCCCAGGAGCCTGCCAGAGGCTGGAGAAGGCGGGTGCCTTCCTGGTCCAGGGTGGAGATCATTGACCTTATTCAGGTTTGGGGGGGGGATGCCCCCAACTTCCATGATCTCAGCCCTAGATGGAGGAACATGGCCGTCTATGGTAGGATAGCTGCCAGCCTGGCCACCAAAGACCACATGCAAACCCAGGAGCAGGTTTGCATGAAAGTCAGGTTGGTCC